AGGAATGCTAAAATTCAGCAACAAGATAGGAAATAAACAAAGTCTCTGAACAAAGGCTCATAAAAAATCTGTATTGATGCCTTATGACTTGAGCAATGGGCAGAACATGATTTAAAATTCTTTAAAATAGGGACTTTGCTTGGTTCTCTGGATTAGCTGTTAAGAGCTTAGGTGTGTGAGTACACGTCAGACACCTGCTATGCAAAACTTCATCTTAGAAAGTTTGTTTAATACAGTTACATTTTCAAAAAGAGAACCATAAAAAAGAAAGTACAAAATGACCGTAACGTCAGGCAGAATTATCAACTTTGATATGGTCCAGTGGATTTTTTAACTGTCAGAAAGACTGAGAGATTGGGAGGGAAAAAGGGATATCAAAACTACCAAGTGAAAGCATGAGATATGAGACCAATGACAGAAACAAATCTGGATCTCACATCTTTTACCTAAAGCCTGGTCATCCACAGTACCATAGTATCAGATGGGATAAGGAATAGAGCCTGGTCAGATGCACTGAAGCTTGTAGCTCTAAAAGCTTGAAAATGAGGCTGAGGGAGAGGCAGAAATAATACAAAATATAGCACGTTTTCATGGCTTGTCACATTCCTGTCTTTGTTGTTCAGATTTGTACAGCAATCTGAAGGATCAACAGTTTGCTTTTTATTTATATTTCGGTATACTTCAATTCAAAAGCTATGGGGTACTGATACAGACACATTTTTATATAGCATTTATGAGTAGGTTCAAAGCTGAAGAATTCTGTGCAAAATTATTTGCATTTCAAAGCAGTAGGGATTGCAATTTGGGGTGAGCTCACACAGAGCTATTAACTAATAACTTCTATGAGCTTTGTGAATTGCATAGCTAAACTTTGATTGAGGTCTTGTGTTGAAAAAGAGTACCAGCCAACAATAACTTGACTCTTGACATAGGACTTAAGAAACAGAAGCAGAGAAAGGCAAAAAAGGGCAGAGTTATTTTTTTAACTTTCAGGGAATCATATAATCATTAAGGTTGGAAAAGACCTCCAAGATTATCCTGCCCTACTACCAACGTCACCCACTAAACCATGTCCCTAAGCAACACATCCAACCTTTCCTTGAACACCCTCAGGGATGGTGATGCCACCAACTCCCTGGGCAACCCGTTCCAATGCCTGACTGCTCTTTCTGAGAAGAAATTTATCCTAATTTCTAACTTTAATTAATTAAAAGTTAACATTTGCATTCAAGCATATAAATCCTGCTGGTTCCTAATTTTTTATTATTTTATTAGTATTTTTGTGCTAACAGGTTATTATCTTAGACAAGTACTCCATAGTGCAAGGCATAGTGTAATTACAGGGCAAAAATATGATTATTTTAGCTTACTTGTAGATATGTATGTGTATCAGTATATATGTACTTTACTTTCTTGTATGCAGCACAATGAATGAAAGTTTTATGAAAGATGCAAAGGATAGTGAAGTAAACCTGCAGGTCTTTAGAGCCTAGACTGGCAAAGGATAAAGTATGTATGTGCAGGTTGTTTAAGCAGGAATGAAAAATGCCATATTGATCAATGACACATATTTCAGTACTGTGTCAGTAAAGCTGGCAATTAATTAGCATCCCACAAGTCTGAAGTAATGTGGGTTATCACTAAAAGTACTGTGAGCTAAAAAAAAAAAAAAATTAAAAAAAAAAATCATCTTGCAGTGAAAAGGACTATTTAATGGCCCCATTCTGTTTAGATTTTTAAACAGCAGCATTGCTGTTTAATGGATGTATAATAGTAAGCAATGGTGATCATACTGACACAAAAATATACACTAGGGATGAAGATGTATGCTTTCAAGATGTACTCACACTGATGGCCCAAGAGAGGTTCTGTTACTGATATTAACAGACATGTCCTGAAAGTAACACTTCACATTCATTAAATTCAGACTGGATCATACACAGTTCACTGTAAGTTTCTCCCAGCATTCACCTTGTTTTTCAAATAGTCAGAAATTTTGAAGTTGCCGATACTTCCTGTGCTAGACCTTTTTACCTTTTGTTTGTTATCTGTATAAGCATCTGAGCTAAGGTTATATATTTTCTATAATGAAGAAAAAGTAATTACTGCAAAAAGCAGTTCAAAGTTCAGTATGTAGTCACAGATATGATTAGCAGGAAGTGTGGTAGTATCATCTGTGTCAATGAAAATTGAAATAATCCATTTAATTTACGTTTTCTTCTAACCTCTATTTGTTGATACAAATTATCTTTGTTCTCCTGTCTTGTAACTAAGTATAACTTAATGTTTTTTCTTATTTATGTGTAATTTACTCCAGCGTAAATCTCAGTTCTGAATCTTCCTTTCCTGCAAATGTGTGCACACACATGCATACACCATTACAGCTAAATGCGTATCCATCCCTATCTGTGTGCATACGTTCTTGCAGAGGATAACTATTAATGTTTTGACATACTTTATTAACACTACCTTTCTTTATTTCAGCAACAGTCAAAAAATTATTTTATCATCTTTTATACCATCTAACCTACTTCACACTCCTCAGAAGTTTTAGTTACCTGGTGGCTTGGATGGCTGCAAGAGCATTTCATATTTTTGCCATCTAGAATGAACACTCCAGGGGTGCTTGTATTCCACTGAACCTGTTTACTTTGTGCTTCATGTATTAGGGGAATAAGATAGGAAATGAATTCCCTGCTTGCAGAAGTATTGGTATGAAAGTGCTAACCTCACAGACTGAGCTCTGAAGGTAGTGATCAGAGCACCCAAAAGCCTCTTTGATCTGAATTCATTGCAAACACCTAACTCACAGACCCCTATAGATTTCCAGTTTTAACTTTGTGCCTAATGAAGTGAAGTTTATCTCTGAAAAGCTTTATCACAGCTGGACGTAACTAGCAATAGTTACTTGCAAGAGTACAACGTAAGGGGGTAACTAAATGAATCTCAGCAGTTTGTCCTTCTAGGACAAAGCTGAAATGTGCATTTATAAGTAGTATAATATAGAATAGTCTTCATCCAGGTCTCCAGACTACACCGCAAAACCAGCATGCAATTTGCCTCTCTGCATAAAAAAACGTCAGAGTGGAAAGAAGCCATGTCAGTCAAGAGGAAGATTCTTCCACAGAGTTAAGAAAGGAGTGTTATGTGCATCATTTATTTGCGGTTAGTCAAACATAACTTACATGCAGCTCCAAGAGAATTTATTGTTCACCCATTTAAGATTTTAATAGTCAAAGCACAACAGCTATTTATTACTGAGTTACAAAAATGCTGATGTTTACCATTTGGACCATGGGGTTTCTGTTGAGGATTGTTAACGATACATCAATACATCGTTACCAATCCCTACCCATCTGATTGTCCACGATCTGAGAAGGACAACCCTCCATGATCCGGAGAGGATTACTTGATGAGTTACCACACCCTAAGGTCTTTGCCAGGGGAGAATAGTATTGTTGCAGCACAGTTAGTGGTGGCTGTTTCTTCTTCCACTTTCTGAGGTACATTTAATATTATTTGTACATGTTTCAAACACCTTATTTGCTAACATAACTGTCTGGTCGGATCATAAATTTACTTCTACTATGCTGAAATCTACGAATCGATCTCTGTGTATGGGGAGCATTTCTTCTAGGATCTAATCTACATGATTGCACACAGCTGAGCAAAATTTGACTGAAATTTAAGTTGAAAACATCTTAAGCACTAGTCAGATTGTCAAGGCTCAAAGCCACAGGTCAGGCAATGAATTGGTTAATTTTGTCAGTATGCATAAGTCCAGCTAGACATACTGACAAAAATGGCCATAAAATTGGCCATATCAAGTTGAGTGGGCAACAAGGCTGAGGCATTTCCTTGCTTGCAGTACACCTTATCCCGCAAGTGTATCATACAAGCCTTCCTTTGAGTACCTACACTGTGTTGGTGTTGTTTTTTTTTCCTTCTTCTTCTTTTGAAATAGGCTATTGAGTGTCTTTTTTTTAGTAGCTATCCTTAAAAAGTCTCTTACCTTTGGTTACTAAACCTGTAAAGTATAGCATTTCATGAAGGCTAGTTAATTTAATAGGGGCCATTTTGTCTTGTACTATCCTCAGTTTTAACCTGAAGGCAGAATAAAAAAAAAAATCTCTTACTTTGGAAGTGTGACTTCCAAACAACCTGTTGTGCTTCTTAGGACAATGTGCTGCTTAAACACTACCAGCTCATCTCACCTTGTTTTTCTTTCCAAAGCTAATTTACATGTCCTGGAAGTACATAGACATATTCTATAGTACATATTCTATAAATCCTTTTCAGGTGTTTGGTTCTAAAAATCATCTAAAATTTCTCTGTGTTGTAAAAGCAAAGAATCAATTTGTTCTTAATACAAATTCTAATCAGAGGTGCAGTGGTTCTTTCTCATCTGAGCCATTGTGTATGTGTATATGTGAACAAGATCCATCTATTTATAACTGCATGCAATAAATGTTAAAAGGAATCTTTTCATTGTCAAGGAGCTCTTTTTCTTGAAGATAATACATCATTAAGGTTTGCCTTAAAACACTGATGTGAACAGGAAAGGCAAAAGCCTAGATTGATATCACCTCATGGAGGCCTGGTGCTGTAAACACATCAGTAGTGTGATTAGCCCTATTTACAGAGTGCACGGTGTTTATCTCTGCATTAGTTATAGCAGGCTTGTGGAGACCCACTGAGAGTGAGAAGAAAAAAAAGAAAAAAGAAAAAGAACTAACATCTTTTACTGTTTTCAGTGGGAAAAGCTGTTTTGTCTCCTCTGATGTCTGGTTGGAAAATGTTAGATAAACAGGTCCTTTGACAAGCCCAATGTTAGTGAAGGAAAATTTGCTTTTTGTTGCTGTTGCTGTTCACAATAGGCTTTCTTATTTTATTTCAAATGAAAACACATGTGCCTGCTTTGAAATGGCACTTAAAATTTGTCAGAGTTCTCCTTTTGCTGCAGACTTAACACGTTCCCTTTCCCATCCTCACCCCTACAGGCCCGTGACAGAGGGTTAGACCAAACCGGTGGAGTCATGCTTCACTCACCTGTATCTTGCTGGCAGCCGTTCCTAGGTCTGGCTGTGCTGCTAGTCTTCATGGGCCCCACCATAGGCTGCCCAGCCCGCTGTGAATGCTCGGCCCAGAACAAGTCCGTCAGCTGTCACCGGAGGCGCCTGATGGCCATTCCAGAGGGCATTCCCATTGAGACCAAAATCTTGGACCTCAGCAAGAACCGACTGAAGAGCGTCAACCCTGAGGAGTTCACATCATACCCCTTGCTGGAGGAGATTGACCTCAGTGACAATATAGTTGCCAATGTGGAGCCTGGAGCCTTCAACAATCTCTTCAATTTGCGCTCCCTGAGGCTGAAAGGAAACCGTCTGAAGCTGGTTCCCCTTGGGGTGTTCACTGGGTTGTCAAACTTAACGAAACTTGATATAAGTGAAAACAAGATTGTCATTTTGCTGGACTACATGTTCCAAGATCTACATAACCTAAAGTCCCTGGAGGTTGGGGACAATGATTTGGTCTATATATCACACAGGGCTTTCAGTGGACTGCTTAGCCTGGAGCAGCTCACCCTGGAGAGATGCAACCTCACAGCTGTACCAACAGAAGCTCTTTCCCACCTTCACAACCTCATCAGTCTGCATCTGAAACAGCTCAACATCAATGCTTTGCCTGCATATGCCTTCAAAAGATTGTTTCGCCTGAAAGACCTGGAGATAGACTCCTGGCCCCTCCTGGACATGCTGCCTGCCAACAGCCTATATGGTCTCAACCTTACTTCTCTCTCCATCACCAACACCAACCTGTCTGCAGTACCTTACTCTGCTTTTAAACATCTGGTTTACCTGACACATCTAAACCTCTCCTACAACCCTATCAGCACCATTGAAGCAGGCATGCTCTCTGATTTGGTACGCCTGCAGGAGCTCCACATGGTGGGGGCCCAGTTACGTACCATTGAACCACATGCTTTCCAAGGGCTTCGATTCTTACGTGTGCTTAATGTGTCCCAAAACCTGCTAGAAACCCTAGAAGAGAATGTATTTCATTCCCCCAAAGCCCTTGAGATCCTCTGCATTAACAACAATCCTCTGGCCTGTGATTGCCGTCTCCTTTGGATTTTACAGAGGCAACCCACTTTACAGTTTGGAGGCCAAACACCGATGTGTGCTGGCCCAGACAGTGTCAAGGAAAGGTCATTCAAGGACTTTCACAGCACAGCTCTCTCCTTTTACTTCACCTGTAAGAAGCCCAAGATACAAGACAAGAAGCTGCAGTACCTGGTAGTGGAGGAGGGGCAGACGGTGCAGCTGATGTGCAATGCTGATGGGGATCCGCAACCCACCATATCATGGGTTACCCCACGTCGGAGGCTGATCACAACTAAATCAAATGGAAGAGCCACTGTTCTGGGAGACGGCACACTGGAAATTCGATTTGCTCAAGACCAGGACACTGGAATATATGTTTGTATTGCAAGTAATGCAGCTGGGAATGATACCTATTCGGCCTCCCTTACGGTGAAGGGGTTTACTTCAGACCGTTTCCTTTATGCCAACAGGACCCCTATGTATATGACAGACTCCAACGACACCAGTTCCAATGGAACTAATGCGAACACTTTCTCTCTGGACCTTAAGACAATATTGGTGTCCACAGCTATGGGCTGCTTCACATTCCTCGGAGTGGTTTTATTTTGTTTCCTACTTCTTTTTGTGTGGAGCAGAGGGAAAGGCAAACACAAAACCAGCATTGACCTTGAATATGTCCCTCGCAAAAACAATGGTGCTGTAGTTGAAGGGGAGGTTGCTGGACCACGAAGGTTCAACATGAAAATGATTTGACGGTGTTCTGCTAGCAGTGCTTTTTCTGTGGCATTATAACCAATTAAACCAGCCTGGCATGTGGAATTGCTGGGCAGAAGCAGCTTAATGCAGCTGTCACTGTATCAAAAGGTTACGTGGAAATGGAAAGACTATTTGTGGTTGTATAGCAGAGCCTCCAGACCTTGAGGCAGATATGTCAGGGCCTTTCATAGAACTGGTAAATTGTACTAACTGTTTGCATTGCAAATATTGGCATTCTGGGGATATCAGCAATGAACCGTTGGCTCATGCTCATGGACAATTGTTCAACATTTTCTACCACTACAAAAAGAAAAAGGAAAAAAAAAAAAAAAAGCCTACAGTGTAGGATTTACATACTTAAAGAAAAAGACACATTTGTCTAAAGCATACTCTACAGTGAAATTTGTATCTATAGATCTCATTTGGTAAAGAGCCTTGCATCATACCTTCTAGTTGGTTCAACGCCACAAAAATTGATAGTGTTTTTTTGTGTGTGTGTTTTTTTTGTTTGTGTTTTGTTTTGTTTTGTTTTGTTTTGTTGTTTTTTTTTTTTTGTTTTTTTTTTTAATATACATCTCTACTGTGTACATTTTAAAGCAATACAAATGAGAGGTTGTGCTTTTAGATATCCACCAATACTGACCCAAGTGTGATGTCACCCTCCTTTTAACAACCATCTAACCCAAATTAGACTCTTGTAGTTACCAATTAGAAAAACCATAAAATATTTTTCTCCTCATTTAGAAGGCCAGAGATGAATAGTTGAGAGCAAAAATACTCAGCTCTGTTGATCTTCTCTTCATATAAATATAAGGCATGTGCCTAGTTTTGATACAGAGTGGAATATTTTTTATATCTGTGATATCACACTGGACCAGTTTACTGTAATGTAGCCCTGGATCGCACCCAGGGAAGGCAACCCACTAGATATTGCTGGCATAGAAGAGCTGAGTTCTACCTTGATGAGATGGAGCTGTTTTTGTTAGCCTTGTTTTTAATTTCTAAGCTACTGTTAAAATGTTAATGTGTATGGGGCAAAAAGAAAGAAAGTAATGTATTCTTCATACTCGTTGAGAAATATGATCTTACTGTTTGCAGGAGTAAATTAAAACATACAAAAGCTTTGCTGCTAGGAATGAACTCTTCTCCAATGCCAGTAAACTAGGGTTGTCCATGCATAATATGGGGATTATAATACTAAAATAATGTTTAAAACATGATAGCCTCAAAAAGGCTAACATACTGCCAGATATAATGAACCTCTAGCCACTGTCATTCTCATCTTGTATATTTGTAGATAACATAAACGCAAAGCTAATTTCCAAGAACAGATTACTTAGCTATTCTTGATGCCATTTTAATAACTATGTGGTTACGTTTCTTTCAGGGGCAGTATATTCGAACAAGAGGTGCAAGTTTTTCCAGGTTTTAGAAAGATTTTTTAATGGGGAGAAGATGAAAGTGGAGTGTTAGTTCAGTACAAGTATTTTTTTTATTTGTTTTATGCCTCTAAACAAATCCTCAAAAGGCTCAGAACTGAAACTTTATTCTTTATTGTTGATTCCACTGTTCTTAATTTGAAGCTCTCAGCAATGGGAAGATACGGAGTTGTTCATCAACCCCTCAATTTTCTAGCAATTATGAGCCATAGGTTTGTTGCTAAGTGGTTGATATCAAATATGATTTATAAACAATTGGAATTAACTGGAGTAAGGATAATAATGACTATGTACATGTTTAGCCAAAAAGGATATGAAACTGTTGTAAGACAGAACATTCAGCTTAATGTGATTTAAGAGCCTGTGTCCAATCTTAAAATTAAATTTCAGCACTCTGAAACCAAAGTCAGGCTGGCCTGTAATGGGATGCTGGTGCTTCTAAAAACTTCTACCCACATTATTTGGCAGAGATTTTCTAAGCAGGTTAAAAATCTTACACCGCTATCAAGGGAAATGTGCCAGAAGTCATACAATCCAGCTGTGCTCCCCAGGTATATCCCTAATATAGCTGTAGGACCCAGGGCCAAGGCAGTTTTGAGAATCTCTGTTCTTAGTGGCTGATCTTTGGTTGCATTGGTTGCTCCATTTTAGGTCACCCAATAGAGAAGGATGTGAGGGTTGTTAGAATTTTCTTCACTTTAGCTGGTTTTAAGTTGAGCTTCATTTTGTTGATTTCTTTTTTTGTGTGTGTGTTCTGAACTAGACAGCTGGAGACTTATGGAGATGCTGGAGACTTATGGAGATGCTTGAGATTAATCCTCTTTGTTCTATGAAAGTTTGTGAAATGTTAACAGGATTGAATAACCCCTGACTAAACAATAACACCAGGGAAATTGTTTTTGCTGATAAAATAACCACCGCACTGAAGCCCAAAACTCTACTGTACCTTAATGTGGGCAGTTAAAGAAACAAATGGGGATAAAACAAAGTGTTTCTGAACTGCCCATTAAAGATATTTGCATGTGCCTTTCCCTTGTAATTGTTATTTTTCAATTAGTAATCTATTACCCCTGCAGTCATTTCATGTTAAATGTTAAAATCAATGTTAAAAGCAAAAATTCTCCTCAATTCTAGACAGTTGCAGCGGATTGCTTCATATTAAATGTCAAAAAAAAAAAAAATCTTAAAAAAATCTAGGAAAAATTGCTTTTAGGGTTAATTATGAATGGCTGAATTCCCCTCTTTACTTAGAATGGTTCTAAAAAGTGATTGCATTGTTAGTGTACTGCAAGGATTTCTGAGCAGTAATGTGCTTAGTTACCTAAGTAAAATATGTCCTGGTGATGAAAATTACTGCTTGCTTTTGCAGAGCACCACCTTATGGAGCTGTCAGCATTGTGTGTATTGCCCGGAGTTCAGTCAATACTCAGTTTTTAACAATCAGTGTTTGCTCCCTGCCTTTAGCTATGTTCTACTTTTTGCAGCCTACTTATTTCACCATGGACTTGGCAAGGCATATGGCATCTCTTAACAGAAATAAGGAGAGCAAGACTCAGAGGCAGGCTTTTATCTTGCTCCCCACAGTCTTGCTCCCCAGATGTGTATTCCTGGGACACGCACTCACTGCAGGGTAAATAGGAGTGCAGTGCCAGGGTCAGACCTAGACAACCACCATTTGGGCAGTTCTTTGTTGGCTGGTTGTCTTTTTAAGAATAAAGGTATTGTAGCTGACTGCATGCCTACTCTGCCTCTAATGTGTTCCAAATCACTTCTCCATCAGTTCTAGAGATCAAGGAAACTGCAGTTTACTGCAAGTGAGTTGAAGCATATCAGAGGAAAAGAAAGATGAGACATCTGCCACACACAGCTCCCCTGTCATTTACTCAAATGCAGGTGGACAGTGCGTATCTGCCATTGCATTAGAGAACGAAGTGGTTTTCTCCTCTTTTGACTTGTACACTGGCTGCTCCTTCATGCTGGCACAAGGCCAAACCAGGCCTTTCCTTCTGGTCAGCACAACAAGCCTCTGCAGAGCAGCAGTAGTTCTGCAGAAAGGGAGAAAACAGAGAAGGATGAAACCAGCAGAGCCACATGAGAAAGCAAGTATACCATTATCTTTTTCAACAGTTCTTGTAAGTTCTGTGCTACCATAATAAAGTTCTCACTAATATATTTTGAACTCCACTTACACAGACCAATGCTTCGTTCTCTTCCTTGTTTATAATGAATGGATCCTTACCCTTACCCTTCCCAAGAGTGAGTTAAAGAGGACACTGCAAGCAGTGTCTCAAAAAAAGAGTTTGCAATGATAAAAGGGTGATGATGAATAACCAGCACCCCATCTCAGCCATATGTCTAGATTTGGGGCTGCTTCTCTCTTTTTTTCTTTTTTCCTTCTTCTTTTTTGTTAACTTGGGAATATTCTTTTCAGAAAGGCTTAGCTTGTGATATCACCTCCATTAGATTCAGACTGGGGAGGCTGCTTTTGCATTCTGCTCCCCACTCCTTCACCGTTCATACACACTGCCAGTGTCAACAGGGTCAACAGCTCCACACGCGACAGAAATCAGACAGGAGACACTGAGACCCTGGAGAACTGTTGATGTGACCTGATGTCAATAGGCATTTATTTAATTAAACACTCTTTAAGACAATTCCAAAGTTGATGTCATTCATACTGCCATTCAATGTTTCTTTTATTTACATGAATGGTATGTGTTGGTTTTTTTTCCTTATTTCTTGCAGCATGGTATTACATCACCTATGATGGTAATAATGATATCATGAAGGAAATTTAGAAAGCCAAATTGTGGACTCAGCATCATAAATGTAGTTGAGGTATATGAGACACAGTAAGAAGTCAGCGTTAATATTTAATGCAAAGTCATATCTAACTCTTGTGATTGAAGAAGAAAGTGGTATAGAGGAAATTTGGAATGTAGGCCATGTTGCAAATAAAATACATCAAAGACATGTAGAAACACACTTTTCTACACCATGCCTAAACATCTGCTTTAGACATTGTTAGACATTGGTCTTTTCCATAAAAATAAAAAATAAATAAATAAATAAATAAATAAAAACTTCAAGATGCAGGAATGCCAGAAGCCCACATTTAACCCTTAGAAAGATGAAAGATTGGTTGAAAATCTAGTAGAACAATGAGCTTCTGGCTGCCCGGCAGCAGCAGTAGCTTCTAGCAAAGCGAGCTAAGAAACTGCAGTCAGTCATTTGTGTAACATTTTTGTCACATTTTTGCACCATCCTGTGAAAAAGGGGTCCATTAGTCAGTATTGAAAGGGCCAATCCTTATTCATTTTTCTTCAGAAAGGGAAACATTTGTGTAAATAGGTGACTGTCAGTTCCATCTCCTTCCCCACCTGTAAAACACACAGCAAGAAGTGAGGAAGGGGAGGCTTATTCTGGCATGGTTGGGTAATCATCTTTTTCCGCTAAGCGATCCCAGTTTACCTGGGACTAACATGTTGACTGTGTTCTCTCCATTCCCATCCTCTCAGTTCACAATGCAGGTTGATATGGAGTTGCAGGGAAAAGAATGCATGGACAAGCTGTCCCTCCTCCCTCAGCTCTAGCTCTGGTCTTCTCAAATCCAAGAACCAGCATAGTCTCAGTATCGTCGAAGTCGCAGTCCACTGCAGCTGATCTGTAGGTTTTCCATAAGGCAGTGTACAGACTAGCACTGGATACATGCTTTCTGACCTGGTATCAGTGTCCCAAGTGTCTTCCCTTTGCGCTGAAAAGATATAGGAGAGAATTAAAGAAGAACAAAAAAACTGTTTCATACAGTAATTTAAACATTAATTGTCCCTGGAGTTAAAGGAACATCTTTGGAAGAGACAAAGGCCTGATTGGTGTTAAATCACTGAATAATGAAGGAGATTTTTCAAGTTAGCTGAGCAGTTTGGATACCCTATTCCTATCACCTGTAATGAGAATTATAAACTCTATTTTCATTGGCAGCTTAGGAAAATCACAGCTAGTTGGTTCAGTGATACGTTACCTTTCTTTGTTTTCTAGCTCTGCCCTTCTTCCCTCTCAGTTGCAAATGACAGTAATCCCAAATGAAGATCTTTGGATTCAGTTTAGTTTCACTGTATGCTCCCATGGTTTTTGGAATCTAGATCTCAAAATACAATCTTAAACCCTCTTCAAACCAAAAACAATAAAAAAAAAAAAAAAAAGGAAGAAGCACAAGTAAGCCTCCTCCTGCTATCGAAAGAAACAAGCGTCTGTGAAGTTCTTCTTATTGCTACTGAGATAGCTACAAGCCAAAAGCAATCTGCAGGTTGAATGATTCTTAGTCTTTTTTTTTTTCTTCTTCTTCTTCTTTCTTTTTTTTCACTAGAAGCAGGTGGTTGGATATAAGGCCAGCTGAAAATAGAATTCTTTACATATAGCCTCAGCAGAATGAGAAAAGAGCTGGCATAGGCAAGCAAATTGTTATTTTAACTTAAAGTTAAGGATACTTTATCATTCATATTCAAACAGCTCATATAAGAATACAAAAGAGCAGACTTTTACCTCATAACTTGATTATTCTTATTTATTCAAACTGGCACCAAAATTGTCATGAAGCAGAAGTGTTGGAACAAAAGACTAAAAACAGATTTTCTACTGTAATGAGTCAGTATAAATCAGGAGAAATACCCTTGACACTCTTTCTGTTACTCCTTGGTTATACAAGAAATTTGATATAGGAATATAGTTTTTTGTTTGTTTGTTTGTTTTCTACTAAGGGACTATAGTGGAAAATAAGCAGAAGTTTTAATTATTTCTCACCTTGTGGCATACCTTCTGTGCTGGATTGCTGGATTGCTATTTGTCACTGTTAACTGAGCTGGAGAATTTAAAAATACAGATTCTGGGAAGAAAAGAAAACAAGCAAAAGAAAAAGAAAGTCTGCTGACTTCTATGTGTGGTATTTGCAAGTCAACAACGCTATCTCCTCATATACAATCCAAGAACAACGAGTTGAAATTTCAAGGCAGCTGTGAAGATGGCTGTCAACTTGTACACATGTTAATAATTTTGATTTTCCAGAAAACAAAATGTTATTGCTTCTGAAATAACTCATTTATGCCAGTTTGATCCCTAAAAACAAATGACACTTTGTCTTCATAACACTGGGCACTGTATAAATAGGTAGTAAATGACAACACTGATCTGGTGAGCTTACAGACTTATAGTAGGAAGATGGCTTATGGGCAAGTACATATGATAGCAAGTCTCATTCTTCGGGGAGGGAATGCCATAGTTCATAACTATTAGAGTATCATCACAGTTACTGAATCTATTTGCAAGCACATGTAGTTCATATGTATATGTTTGTGTGTGGAAAAAAAAAAAAGTTATATTTGTTTTGTTCTTTTTCTTACTTCAAGTATTAAATGTATATTGTTTTTAAAAAGTGACAAGGTTAACCAGAAAAAAAATGTGTTGTAATTTATTTTAATATATATGATCATGATTATGGATGGGAAATGAACTAGCGCTGCTGTTATGATTCATGAAGCACACGGCAAGTCGGGTTTGTCCATTAAGTCCGCTTCATGTTTGAGCAAAATATGGTAATATTAATGAAAAAAAGAAAAAAAAAAAAAAAAAAAAAAAGTTGTTTGTCAAGACGGTTGTCCTGAATGTCATTTTAAAATTTACTTTAGGGCTTATGTCATGATGTGTATCATACTTATCCAAAATGAAACCCAAATAAATAATTCCATGGAATGGCAGCATTTACTGGGAGAAGTGAAGAAAATTTACACTGCTTCCCTTAATGTAGCTGGTCATTTTTTTGTTTTTTTTTTTTGTTTTTTTGTTTTTTTTTTTCAAGGGGTAGGGATGAAACTAAGCTGAGAAAAATGCAGTTTTCTCAGCACCAGTCCCAACATCCTTGGTGTCAAGTCTTCATGACAGGTAATACACTCAAACCAATCATTCCTGAACTGAAAATATAAGCCATTACAGTCAGGAAGAGAATACTCTAGGCATTTCTCATGTGCTGACTTACACTCCTCCATCATGGCATTGAGCTCTCAGAAACAGAGAAAATCCTAGGTCATATTCAGAATGCTCTGGGATTTATTCTCCAGGCAAAATATCAGACAGTCTGTTCCTTCACCCTCCCTTGCACAGCATATGCAGATAATTGGTGGAGATACTGGTCAGCCTAATGTCAGAAGGAAAATGCCTGCCACATCCCAATACCCTGGAGATAGATTTCACCAAGTGTCTATCACTATTTTTTTTTTTTTTTTTTTTTTTAATGAAGGTAACCAATACTGAAAGTCTACTTCTAAAACATGTTTTCTAAGGAAAACACCAGTACAGGATTCAAACTTCTCTATAACCGCACCACAGAAATTAAGTGGTGAAAGATAGAAGCTGAGTTTGAAAGCTATTCCCAGCCTGAGGCCTGCCATGACCCATCAAATCAACGGCAGAGATCAGCTTTGAAGGACACAGGCCATAACTGGCCTGTGCTACTGATGCTACTCTCATTCTCAGCTAGCTGCTTTCACCAACAGAGGATTTTGCTTATGTTTTCTGGGATAATCTGAAATAAGATTTATCAATCCTGAACCCATTATCCTCTAAACCAGGGTCTTGTTCACTAGGAGGGGGAAACAGAGTTGGTTTTGCTACCTCAGAAAAGGAACATGCAGGCTGAAATCTGGATGGATTGCTGGGAGCAGAGACAGACAGAAACTGAATGTGAGCTCTCCCAAACCTCTTGCAATCTGTTGTATCCTTTTGCATTTGACACCCTCGAAAGGTTTTGGCTGACTTGCATCACTGCACCCTCCTCCACAGTAGACTATCAAATGTCAAATGTCAAATTTTTGTGGGAGAAACTTAGATCATGTTAAGGATCTGAATGATTTCATGTTATTTTCCTTCAGTCTGATCACCTGATTTACAGTCTGCAGTGTGCTGCAGTAGAGCCTTCAATATGACATGAAAAAGAACCATCACACTACTACTGCATTAAGAACACCGAGTTTGCGAAGGACAGGCAATGGTTCCTGGAAGGGTTCTTCTACACTAAGCTTTATACTTCCTTTATGCCATTCAGGTTACTCTTTTGGACTACCTGATACTATCTCAAGAGGGGGAACTTGTTCCTATAACACAGGGTTTAATACACAGTTTCCAGTTCTTACAGTAAAAGAAACCATGAGTCTTTTCCAGGATAACCTGGTAAAGAAAAACCCTGTCACATCAGGCAATCGCTGACAAATTCATTGAAATCATCCCCATTCAAGCTGGGGTCTGAACAGAAAGATTTGTGCTGTCCTGTAATATCTTTTAATTTCAGAAGAAAAAAATAAAATAAAAAAGTAGTATCTATAATTAATTCATAACACACAAACATAACTTCAGGTTTTCAAAAGCATCCAAAATTCTCTAGGGCACACTTGTTTTCATAAATTTCACAGAATATTTAAACTTTTACAGTTCTACTATAAAAGAATGATATCACAGTTAGTAGCCCTATGTTGGATACCAGGGTAACCTTTAAATAAATAAATCTGAGCATCCAAAGCTTATTTTAAAAAATGCCTAGCTCTAGAATTTTTGTATTTGAAAAGGGCAGGGGGAAATGGGAGCATCACACTATCTACCAACTAATAAACTCAATACACAAAGATGAAGTTATTCAAACATGGGGGAAGTGAATTCCAGTGAATTTTCTGCATCATAAAACTTTCTCATATGAATCTGCAGATGGTTGGCTATAAAAAGGGCTTTATCCATCTCCTGTACTTTCTGGACTAGGGACTGGGGAGAGAGGGAAGAGGGTGGGGAAGGGGGAAGAAAGGCTGGAAGGCTGGTAACTCATGCTGGAAAAGCACAATTAAATCTGAACTAGTGCATTAAGAAACATGGAGTTATTGAAAAGGTCCTGACCTTACTACCCACAGCCTCGGCAGCAGGCAGGGAAATTTGGTCTAAGTTCCTTCTTTTCTAGAGAGAGGAAATTCCCAGGGAAAGCCTTATTCTTTCTCTGTTCTTGGAAGGATGTTTCAACTTTAGTATTCAAAGGGAAAAGTAATACAGTAATAAGTTAGTGAAATACGGGATTGGACTGTAGAAAGAAAAAGAAATTAAAACTAGTGTAAAAAATCAGATGACGTTGGTACTTAGCACCTTCCCTAAGTACCTGTAGAATTATGTGGGTTTGCAGAAGCTGATTTATTAATTAATACCTAGGGGATACATTCAGCTAGTTTAAGCTATAATCACCAGCTGGAAGATCTTATTTACCTCATCAGTCCCTAAAGTGGAAGTTATATTTTTCTGAGCTATTTTCCGATAACTTTGCTATTTATATAACTCAGAAGCACAAGTGATGGAGAGCACACTTATTTTATTAGAGGAAGACAATGATAATAAATTTAATCTATTACTTTTGCTACGAGAACTGTTTGCTGTATGTACAAAAACTAATAGATTACATCCATTATATAAAGTATTGCTATCACTGAAACCAAATAACATTTCCTCTTAAAAAGCTACTAACCTGCAGTGCATCTGTGAGGTGTGTCAGTACTATTGCACTGCAGAAAACACTCTTCTTTTACAGAGAAAAGGCATATCATGCAGTGGGGTTACTGACACAATATAGCCCCCTGACTTACACAAAAGACTGCATTCCAATAGGCCTTATGGAATCTCATTGTCTTGGCTTTAGTGAGTTCGGCAGGCTGTCACATTTTGCTAAAGGAAATCAGATCAGCACTGCCTAATGTGGAGAAGTCACAGCTGTTGGCTAGTAACATGAGCAGAAGGCTAGAACTCAGCATTTCTGATCTGCAGTCAAAACCCCTCCTTTATAATCCTTCAGGATTATAAAGCTGAGGAATTACAGTTCAGCCATCCCTACATGAGGAATTATAATTTTTAACATAGATTGGTATGTGATAATAGGCATTGTTATTAGACAAAGAAATTTATATTTTTTTTAAAGAAATGAAACAATTGCTGCCCGAAGTGTTCCAGAAGATGATGGCACTGTGGTCACAGCAACAATCTGCCCTATAGTTGGCATTTCCAACAGCTGTAAAATAGATGTTCCTGCAGAGGAGTGGCAGTATATGAAATAAAACTGTCAGGAAAGATGCACACCAACTAGATTCTTGCCTTTTTTGCAATTCAATGGTATATTGCATGAAAGGACCTCTTAATGCCTCATTTAATTAGTGTTTTTGCAATGCTTAATAAACGATTCATCTCCTAACAAATCTATGAAGATTTATCTCTTTGCCTTTGATTATAGATGAGAGATGCTGAAATGAATGCAAACCACACATCATCAGGTTGTCAAGTGTATCAACCCCAGCACTGAGCACTCAGACTACCAGTACAAAAACATTACCATTTGGTCCTTGTACAAGACTGACAAAAATAGGTCCTATAGTTTCTGTACTCTCTAATCAAACCATACTGAAAGAAACCTAGCATTCCCATAGGTTCCCCAGATCTCTAACAGACAAAGTAACAAGTGTCTACTTTTCAAATTTCTACTGCCAATGTTTATCGCAGGGAATTTGAACTAACATTCTGTTTGCTTTATTTGCCACAATGCTGAATCATGTCCAACCTCAACTTCATCTTTTACTCAAGATTGGTTTGCTTATACATAATCCAAACACTTGCAGCTGCCCCATTCCCAGCTTCTGCTTTAGGACTAAAGCCAGAAGAATTTGCTATGAAAGTCAGTGGAGCATATTTGATAGTTAATGGCCAGTTACTGCTTCACATTCAGCAGTCACTGGGAACTGTATTTGAAGTATGGGCCTATCTGGAACAAAAATACCATACTTGCCCTTGGGAATGAGCTTAACCACCATATGTCCATTCTGTCATTCAAGACCAACAACAGCTGAAGACACTGGAAGGTGTGCATTCAAGTCAATGAGAGCTGAAGGGACTACCTGCTGAATGAGCATGTCATCCTCAAGAACTGCAAACAGGCACCAGTGAGAGATTAACTTGTCCTTTATGTCTTAACATACTGAAGCAGAAACTCCAACCAGTGCAAATGGAAAGAAGGCATATAGAAAAAACAACAACAACAACAACAAACAAACAACAACAAAAAACTTTGCTCCAATGGACTCACAGTATGAGAATGAAATGTATGAAAAATGGATGAGATATGCTTGTTGATGAGAAAATTATTTTCTCACTATGATAGAGTGTTCCCTCCAGATCCTGTCTTAACATAAGGATTTTCCTCTCTCCTTGTTCAAAAAAGGAAAGCTACAAACCACATCATTTAATTACAACTACTTTCTTAAAATGCAGTCTGTTCTGATCAAAAGATCAAACTTTTCTGGATTTTCAACAACTATTGTAATTGTTTTTCATATCAATTGATTTTAATTGTAACACTGTACTGCTACAGCCCTATTGTCTGTGTCCTTCCAAATTGTCAGTTACTTAAATGAAAAAATAAAAGCTGGAAAGCACATTGTTGTAACTGATTTCTATGTTGCAATTGTCTTATCAGAAACATTTGTCTGTTGAGGCACACACACAAAAAATAAAATAAAATAAAATAAAATAAAATAAAATAAAATAAAATAAAATAAAATAAAATAAAATAAAATAAAAACTTTCCTAAAAATAAAATTGAAAAGAAAAGTTAAAATAAATAAATAAATAAATACAAAAATCCATTGCTGTTTCACTTGTGCTTTTTAAGGCAACAATTTGAGGCTGTCATTTTCGGTCCCCTGTGACAGTTTTGGAAATATGTTAGGCATTCCAGTGAGTATACTGATTACAAAGAAAAAATGTTTTTCATTAATATTCTAAAAAGGTTGCTTTCCCCACGTATGTTAAGTCAAACGGCCCCTAACTAGGCTACTTCTTGCCATGCCATGCCTTGTCTTCTCCCATGCTGCCTTTTCCCTATGCTACCCAACAAGTGTTTGAGCAATAAGTACAGCATGCAGCTTGACTCGTTTGAAAGAAGGCAAGGGCTGACTTGCTAGATAAAAAATATTCTCAAAATAGACGAGGCAGATGTCCGCCAGTCTTACTCTCAATGGAAGGAGAAAGCATGAGGAAGCACTAAACGTCCTTCTGATGCCCTGGCCCTTGGCACACATATACGTACATAGGAAGCAGTTAAAACCCTTTTGATTCTTTTTCCAAACAAAACAAATGAAATACTCTTCTCTTCTTCACAGTGCCTTGAAAATGAAAACATTGGTCTGCTTGATTGTTTTTTGTTTTTGTTGTTTTGTTGTTTTTTTTTTTTTTCTTCAGACCACAGTTCTTTTTTCTCTTCAGTAAGTGCCTGCAGTGAGTTGACCTCTGCTGTGTGGCAGATGCCCAACCAGCTGCACTCTCAACAGGACCTGGAATAAGAAACTAACGTGGAAAATCTCATGGTCAGTATAATGACAGGGAGATCACTTAAGAATGATTTTCACAAGCAAAACAGGCTCAACCTCCCAGTTAAATCAGATACAGAGTGAGAGACAAAGTGACACCTTCCCCCGGCACCCTGCGTAGTTCTGATGGAGATACCCGGAAATGGCCAGAATCATCTGTTTCTGGCACCAGTGGAGACCTTGACCTCTTCTCACAGAACCCAGTACTTAAGCACCACACTCCACCAAAGCTCTCCCATTTATGCCCAATACAGTGCCCTTGTGTGTGCTTGAAAGCTGGTGCACACATGTGCAGTCACACGCAACTATCTGTCACAAAACTATTTGTTGATAACTGCAACAGTTACACATGGGTCCCCGATCAGAATCACAAAATCATAGAATAACTAAGATTGGAAAAGACCTCCAAGATCATCTGGTCCAACCATCACCCTACCACCAATGTCACCCACTAAACCATGTCCCTAAGCACCACACCCAACCTTTCCTTCAACACCCCCAGGGACAATGGTGTCACCACCTCCCTGGGCAACCATCAGATAACCTTTCTGGAATAAATCTCTGTTAGTGTGACTGACCAGGTGTACTGGGTCTGGCTGGTTGCAGTTAACTTTTCCCACAGCATCCAATACAGTGCTGCACTTTTCACTTGTAGGTGGAAGAGCAGTGGTATCACACCAGTGCTTTAGCTACTGCTGAGCAGTGCTGGCACTGCATCAGGGCTGTTTCTCCAGCTCCCCTCCAACCCTAATGCTAATAGGCTGGGGTAAGCAAGAGTTGTGGAGGGGACACAACTAGGGCAGCTGACCTAAATTGTCCATCAGTTACATGATAACAGACCTTTTTGGTACCCAACATTGGGCCTGAAGGATTGGAATAACAGCAGATTTGACCAGAATGTGTTAGAGAAATAATATTTAACAGTTGCTGGTCATAATGTTGACTGATTTGCTCTCAGTGTTGTTCTGTGTGATCCATGTCATGTTCCCTCTTCTGCTGCATGTTGGATTTGAGATCTTAAAGGTTGTGTTTGTCTTTTTCAGTTTGCCGCTCCGTAAAGCACTGGCCTAGAGCTTGATCTGGCATTTGGGACCTTCATTGCTATCATCTTTGCACTCTGGAAACTATCTCTCAAAGACTATTAACAATTATACCTTCTCCTTTTTCTCCCCTGAGAGCCAATTGGTGGCGGAAATAAGGGATGGTACCTTTCCTTTCTCTTCCTGAAGGCTAGCTACAATAGCTCCTGAGTATTTTGAACATCTTTGGTTAATCAATGTAACCCTACCGCTATGTCTCCAAAATGTGTTTTCAGCTTTTCCTAAGGTGAAATGACTATCTAAGAATACCACTCAGGAACATGCCACAAGGCACATGGGAGAATTTGGGTAGGCACACAGAACAGTAGGTATCTCCACTACTTTGGGACTCCACCCTTAAACACATGCAGAATCCTGAAGTACTGACAAAAAAAAAAAAAAAAAAAAAAAAAAAAAGTATACCCTGGCAATTCCAAAGAGACACAAATTACCACAATGTGCTTGGGCCTAGCCCACACCTGCTGAGCCCTGTTCAGCACCCTCAAGGGGAAGAAAAGGTCTCTGGATCTGATGACAAAACAACAGACACTGTGGCTAAAAAACAGAGAGAGAACCTACACTAGCCCTTAGAGTCAACAACAGTCATCAATGGAAGTGGAAGTCAGGTCATTTAATAAGGGAAGAACTAGCTGCTCCTAAGAGGGAGCAGGAGGAAGAATCATAAGAGGCACACTGCTCTGTAGCAGAGCAAACACAAGAACAGGAAAGAGAAAAGAAAGAAATCGTAAGTCAGAAACTATCTGATCTATATGATCCAGTCATAGCCCGGGCTGCCTCAAGAGCAGCAAGGCCAGCAGGTTGAGGCAGGTGATTCTCCCCATCTTCCCGTGTACTCTGCTCTCCTGAGACCTCACCTAGAGTGCTGCAGTCAGATCTGGGGCCTCCTGTACAGGGAGACATGGACCTGTAAGACAGGGCCTAGAGAAAGGTCACGAGGATTATCAGGGGGCTGAAAAACCTCTCCTGTGAAGACAACCAGACCGAGTTGGGGTTGTTCAGCCTGGAGAAGGGAAGGCTCCGGGGAGACCTTACAGCATCCTTACAGTACCTAAAAGGGGCTTAAAGGAAAAAAGAGGAGGGACTTACTGTCAGGGAGTGTGGTGATAGGAAGAGGGGTAACAATTTAAAACTTAAAGAGGGTAGGTATAGATTAGGCATTAGGAAGAAATTCTTTATGATGAGGGTGGTGAGGCACTGGCTGCCCAGAGAAGCTGTGGATGCCCCATCCCCAGAAATATATAAAGCCAAGCTGGATGGGGCTTTGGGCAACCTGATCTAGTTGAAGGTGTCCCCAAAATGGCCAGGCAAGCAAGGGAATTAAACGATCTTCCAACACGTCTCTTCCAACCCAAACCATTCTGTGTTTCTATTACCACTACTCCTGAGTCAGCTGTGAAATATGTGAAAAGATTTCAGCCATCACCCAGGCTGTAACATTGTCACCTGGTTGCTCCAATGCTGGGGTAATGGAGCCAGAAGTCAGGAATGGAGGGCAAGAAAGACCAGCAGCTGGGATCCCTTCCTAAGAAAAGGACATTGACAAAGTGTTTGGAAACGGGGCAAAAGTCCTCAGCCTCTGGAGTTCACTCCTGTAGGGCTTAAATGATAGGTATCCTTTCAAGGAAGAGACTGTAAATTACTTAAGTGGACCAATATGGAGGCAGGTATCTAGTATGCAAGGAAATCAGCCATGAGGGAGGTGATCTATAGCAACCTGGACAATAACCAGGCATCCAAAGACATAGATGAAGTCCAGTACAGAGGGTCCATGCAGTGAAGATTTTTACAGAGCACTCCACTATCCTAAGCCAGCATCTTGACATTAATGAACGGGACAGGCACAGAGGCACCAGTGGTGAATGGATTGGCCAGGAAACTCTGGCAATACAAAGAAAATCTCTTTGCCTCCCTACAGGCCTCCATCTCATGTGTGCAGAAACTTTCCAAACAGCTTCAACAGCTTGAATACATTATGTTTTCCTCCTCATTTAAACACATCAGTATCTCAGCTATGAGGAGTCAGCATTTCTGTTCTCAAGAGAAAGGGTACTGTGGGCATACGCCACACGGCACCCTATGGTTTTACCTGCGTGACCACAGGGAGGACATCAGCACATGTGACGGCAAACCTAACTTGAACCTACCTGCTCATAAGAAAATACAAAGATTTGAGAGGTTGAAGTCTGGGTTCCACCCTCTTCCCAGATACCCCTCATCACCACAGAAGCACTGGCCTATTTGTGGGTAACAGGTGGGCAGCACCAGGCCCCAGTTAGCCATCATCTCAGCTGCAATCTACTGCCATGGGCACCTGAGCACATGGATGGCCCATGATGAGGACACCAAGTGATGGAGCAAAACCATGCAGCCTTCATTTCTTATCCTGAGGCACCAGCAGAGCCTGTCCCAGCCTAGCTCGTGGCTGGACTCCTGCTGAGCGTGTGTGTAAGGCTTGGAGCATCGAGTGAGGATTTGGTGGAGCCATGCTGTGGGGCTGCCGGCAGCTGTTCTCAGTGCCTATCCCCATAGTCATTGTCCATGTTTCTCTGGCCCTGCTTGGCTCAGGCAGGTGGGGCCCTGCAGGGTGTGCTCACAGCAGTGCAGGTGAGCTGTGTGGGCACATGTGTCCTGGGGCAACCTGCAGGGGGCACGGGATGGCCCAGCCATAGGGCTGAGGGGGTTCCTGCTGAGAGGCCAGGGCATTTTTCTGCCCTTTGTTGTGCTAGCAAATGACAGTGGCTGCTCTCTCTCTTCCAGCACACGACACCCTTTGACCCATGACCGCTGCACGCTGGTCATGGCCATGACATCGCACTGGACCTTTCCCATCTGCCACAATTCTGTGATTCTGTGACACTTGGGATGGCCTGCCCATCATCCTACCATGGCAGCACGAATTCTGCTTAGGATGCCTGATGCAAGGGGCCAGGCAGAAACAACACTGCCCACTCTGCACG